ATTATACTTCTACCATTATCCTCAAGGCCTCTGCTCTCACATTTGAAACTAATGGCCTTGTTGCCTTCTTCTCAAAGAACTCTCATTTTCTGTCCTCTGCCTCCCAAACGAAGCTATGTCCACGTGCACTCTTCCCTCGAAGGTCAAAGGGCATGGCGGCTGAGGCAGCTTCCGGGTCATGCAAGGAACCGTTTAGATAAGAGGTTGAGGCTGACCACAAAGTAATTAGAGGTAATTTTAAGTTTTCCTTTTCTGTTTATCTTTATTTTCTAAATCTCCTAGAATGAAAATAGATGATTTGTGTTAAAATACATCAATGTGTGTTTTTTTTGTTTTGTTTTTTTAAAAAACTATGCCATGCTATGCGGTGTACCTAAAAAAGCTTGTGAAATAAATTCATTAGGAGTGAACTTGTCAAAGACAGACTTTGAATTAGAAATGGCTGCTGTCCAAGGCTCTCAGTTTTCCCATCTGTAAAACGGGGTAATTAATATTAATCAGTCATTATACTGTATAGCTTGATACTTGCTAAAATTTCTGTAATTGGGAGTTGCCTATGCTCCCGCTGGGAGTCTCTGTTATTTAAGTTGTGCTTTGGTTCCCTGCTCTTGAAGCAGATCTAATGCTCAGCTGTTTCTTCACCTATTCAGTTTTCTGTGAAGAAACACCTGCTTAGGATGTACCTAAGGAGTTATTTGTTTTTTGATAATTAAAGCACTGCTGCTATGGTGATGACTGACATCTGGATTCACTTTTAAAGATGTGGCTGCGTTTTCCTGGCTCCTGGGGGATTCGTGAACTATAATGCGTGAGATGGAAATGTGGCGACGTGCTTCCTTTTGCAACAGCAGTTTTACTCCGGCTGTGTTATTTCCTCATTGCAATGAGCGGGAGCTGCCACTCCGTTACTGCTGCTAGGAGGTTAGGGGAACTGAGTTGAGCCCCAGAAATTTAATACACCGTATAATGCCTGATTTATTTTGATTCTGGCTTTGATTTGAATTGATAAACTCACTTGGGACGGCTCTGAAGAACCAACATCCAGGGATTCCAAAATTTTTATAAACTGGTTCTGAAATAATTTCTATTTGGGAAGCATGAAAGCTGAAGCTCACCTAAGTATTCCCACTAGTAACAGAGAAGGAGGAAGTTGGCAAAAGCATTCTAATATTTATATATAATCTTCAGAACTATAATCTTCAAACTCCACTCGATGATAGCCCAATCAACTTTTCCAGGATTGATTTCTAGAATTATTACATTATTACTGCCTCTTCCTTAACGTTCTTCTTGGCCTGTTAATCACAGGAACCATACATCAGTCAGGGCTCACTGGTGGCTATTTGAGTATCAGCAGAATGAGCCAATAACCTAAGTCCTGGTGTCTTGAGGGGCCTCCATAGCAGTGGCCTTTGTACAATCAGGAGAGGAGGAGGTTAGGGAGCCCCAATAATGCATTAGTCTCCAGCGGCCACTCCGTGCCCAGCGAGGCCCCTTCTGCACTCAGAGGTTAAGCTTTCAAGCACTGCCATCCCCAAATGGCAGGTGCCTTCCTTAGCAAATTGGTTTTCAATCAGAATTTTCCCTACGTCAAGCCAGGAACTTCCAAACCTATGTCGCACGCAGGTGTGCAGAGTGTGGAAGCCTGGTCACGTGTGTGTCCTCACTGTGCAGTCTGGAGGTTTTGTTTTCAGAGGTCACCTTGGGAAGCAGCACTTCCTGTAGATTAAAATCGGAAATGCCCTCTACATTGCAAAATGTTCACATCCTGGGCAGCCAGAAAGTAGGAAAATGTTTACAATGGGAGAGGATCAGTATTTGTTGAGAGCATGTGCTAAGTGCCAGGTACTTTAGATATTACTTAATATGCAACAAAAGGAAGATTTTAACCCTATTTTAATAATAGAAAAACTGAGGTTCAAATAAATTGTTCCCACCTCAGATCGTGTTGTTGGTAGAATGGAAAATGGAGAATATAGATTCACATCCAACAGGTTGTTTTTTTTTTTTCCCTTCAGAATTCTTCCTTGTGTCCTAAGGTGAGTCTAAATTTCCATTTTGTGAGCCCTGATTGGAATGTGAGCAGTGGTGTGCCAAGCAGTGGGGTTGGGGGAGAGAGAAGCACAGCTCTAGGAGCAGGCAGAGATGGGTACTGAGCTACAGGAAAATTTAAAGACAAAAATGAAACAGACTAAAAATATGTCCATCATGTAATTATTATTGCCATCAATTATTACTGTCACCATTGTCATGTGACAGCAATTCTAGAGAATGTCAGCAATAAAATATTCCTTCTTGCTGGGACATCCCCACATCTTGGTACACAAGTATATATAAGAAGCTGTCAACTTAATTTTCAAGTTTTTTTTTTTTTTTTTTTTAAAGAGCAGGTTGTTTAGAACTTGTAATCAAAGTGCCACAAAGTTTCATGGCCTAAGATAGATCACACTTCAGGACATGATGTACCGAAGTCCTTATCTTTTAACATTATTTCTAAGAAAAAATGAGTTCTAATTTTTATTTCATAAGTACATCTCTCCCAAGTTTGGCAGTGGGAGCAGGGGTCTTTTATCTTCTGGTAGCAGCAACGACTCTGGCAGTAAGAGTCCTTTCGGTAGTAGGGGCTGTCTGGCAAGGTGGCTGATGAGGAGGAAAGAGATAGATCCCAGAAATGTATACAGTGGGGGAGGAAAGAGTATCTCTTTAAATTGGCACAAGAAAGTTACTGTTCAAATGAATCCCAAAGTGTAGAGAATGAGATCTTAAAGAATTACTTTACCCCATCACCAAGTCTTATAAATTCTACCTCCTGAATATCTCTCAAATATGTTCTCTTTTCTCCTTGGCTGTTCAGACCCTAATACTATTTTACAAAACCAATGGTTGGCCTAGCATCTCCATATTTTTCATAATACTCTCTAATATCTCAGTGTGAATACTCTGTGATCTTCTATTGCTCCCACCATTTACTATAACAGCATGTGACCTAACCTGTTGCTTGTACTTGCTGCATCTCAAGCATTGAATTTGGGGGTATGTGTGTGTGGGGGAGACTTACTTCAGTCTGTAGTTCCACTCTGCCCTTTAAATCTTTATTTGTATTTCTCAATCACCTCAATATTATTAGAGATACTGAGATAATGTTGAAGTACTTATATTTACCATAGTAATTTTCCTTCCAAACTTCAAGAACTTCCCATCTGATTCAATAGGTGATAGATTCACTTAAAAGGTCAACCTGAAAACAAGACTACAAAAATCAAAAGCTGCATTTGAAATACTTGCAATATTTGGGCTTTTGGATTACATTTCAGTAATTCTGTACTAACAAGAGAAAGTATCATGTATGAGATGTGAAAAATAAGAGTAAAGGCTGGTTGCCTGAATATGGTTATGAACCCATTACCGTATAATTAGCCTCTGCTTCTTTTTAACCAGCTGTTTTTAGAAAGCAGATCTACTTAGTAATATCAATTACTGGTAAATAATTTCTGATTGGTTATACTATTATCATGCCAGAGGAAATTCAATAATTTAGACCAGAGTCAAGTGGCATCTTATGCCTCTATGATGTCACTAAGTACACTAGTATATAAATATATATCTAAATTACATTTTTCCATTTGCTCATTTGTGCTCTTACTTCAAAGCTACTGTTACTATTGATATATGGAACAAAGAAAACAGTATGAGTGCTTAAACACACATATATAGACTCAGGACAGTTAATAATATGGAACTAGAGGCCAGATGCACGAAATTTGTGCAAGAGCAGGCCTTCACAGCCTGGGCTGCCTCGGCTCTCGCAGCCCCGGCTTCGTCCAGAAGGTTCTGCTGTTCAGCTGTTTGATCTATTTGCGTATTACGATTTTATGATTATAGATGCTTAGTTTGATTCCTGGCCTATAGTAAGGCCTCAACACATGTTGGCCATAACTTTTATAATCCTCACGAATATCCTCTCCCACAAGGTTCTTTACAGTGATTGCCTCGCACTTGAGTTTAGAATACTGGTCTTCCCGCTTCTTTCTGCTTGTAGCATACTGGGCCAAATCTTACCCATCACAACCAACCACAGAGAGCTGCTGGGCACCTATGATTTTGCCACTGTTCAAACTGGTTTCCGAAAGCCCTAAAATAGCACAGAACAGAAAATGTGTAAGTAATGCCTTGCCCCCATTTTTCCTGTCCCAATCTACGTGCCCTGCTCCCTGCTGCCAATAACAGCTGCATTAAACTCTATCTCAAACCCTAAATTCTTAAGCTCGCGAGCCACATGCATCTCTTTGGCCCCTTGAGTGTGGCTCTTCCACAAAATACCAGGGCCTGGGCGAGTCTATTTTGAAGAAGTGGCGTTAGAAGAAGTTTAAAAAATTTGGTTCTCAAAAGAAATTTCAATCATTGTACTGTTGATATTTGGCTCTGTTGACTAAGGAGTTTGCCGACCACTGCCCCAGGGCATGTGGAGGACTTAGCACAGACTTCTCTACAGGGCAGAATTTTTCCACTTACATCTTGGGTTCTGGGTCCCTTTGAAAGCTCAAAGGTCTGGAAACCCCTCACCGCACAGGCGAGCACAGACACCCGCCCAGGGCGCACTCAAATCCCCGCTCCCTTCCCTGCACGGCGGTCTCCCGGCAGCTCCAGCTGCCGCGCATGCGCCACCACTGCGTCTGCGCAGTGTCCTGGGTTCATTCTTTCCGAGCGGTTCTCCAGCTCTTTCCCAGACTTCCATTCGAACTTCCCGGCTGTGGCCGAGACAACCAATCAAAAACGTCCTCCCTCAAGCCACGCCCCTCCACCGGCTCCTCGGGGAACCCGAGTCAGATTTCACACACACCCGGCCTTCCAGACGCACGCTGCGTGCGCACGTAAGCCTCGGGCGCCGTCGTCGCCCCCGCGCCGGCTCTCTCGCCGGACCGTTGGGCGGCCCTCCGAAGCCCCTCCCTCAGAGCCTTTCACCCCCGCCCTCCCGCCACCCGTCCCTGCGGCGGCGACTCATGTGGGGGTTCGGGCTTCTGCGGTCGCCGCCTCTGCTGCTCCTGCTGCCGAAGCTCGGGCTCGGGCTCGCTGCCTGCCGCTCGCAGGCCGGAACCATGGACTTGGGCGGCTGCGGCTCCGCGCGGAGCTCGCCGGCGGCCGAGGGGCGCCCCCGGTGCCTGCAGCTGTCCGCGGTGCCGGGCTCCGACCCGCAGCGCAGCAACGAGCTGCTGCTCCTGGTGGCGGAGGAGCTGGAACGGCGCGATCTCTCGGGGGACCGGGCTCAGGAGGAGCCGCAGCCGTCGCCCCAGCATCACGTCGTCTACTTCCCCGGGGATGTGCAGGTAACCGGGCCTGCGGGCACCTGCCCCTTCCCCCGGGCGCCCTCCTCGCCTCGCCAGCCGTGCATTTACATTACTTCGGAATCCCCTACCCTCTCCACACCCCGACCCCCTCCTCTTGCAGCCCCAGGAGGGAGGTGTCCTTGGAGAGCTACGGCCTCTGGAGAGCCGGCAGTCAGTCCAGGCTTCAAGGGAGTAGAATTTGAAACAGAAAGGGTGAGACATAATATACAGAGTGGCCAGATTATTACCATCTCTGAACGCATTATAATCTGGCCACTCAGTGCATATCCTATATAATAAAAGGCTAATATGCAAATGGTCCCCTCGATCAGCAGGCAGGCTGGCCGACCGCACATGTCCCCTCCCGCTGGCCAGGCTGGCCGGACCCCACCCATGCTCGAATTCATGCACCAGGCCTCTAACACACACACATACACACTGAACACACACACACACACACACTGAGTGGCCAAATTAATATGCGTTCAGAGATCATAATCTGGCCACTCAGTGTATATGTATTCATTCTCCGTGTATATGTATTCATTCTATGACTTGGTTTCCCAGTGGAGTGTTTGTGTGCACGAGCGTGCTGAGCAGGAGACAGAGATGGCTTTTACATTAATTTAGCCAGCGGGTGCCACTGGCAGTTATTAAAAAGCAGACTAGTCAACAACAAAAATTAATCAAGCGTATGACACTCAGTAGCCCTAAGAAATGGGGGATGGGTGGAGAACTGTATTTTGATGCTCACCTAAATCCTGTGCTTTTCTTTTCTGATTTTATCTTTATAGCTAATTTTATAGCTGCAGGCAGATAACTGTGGATATGTTGTCCTGGAAAGCTGGGTGTCAAAACCTAGATCTTAATCTAGAACCGTGTTGTCTAATACCGAAGCCGTTAGCTATATGTGGCCATTTAAGTTAAGTAGGTTAGAAACCCATTTCCGAAGTCCCACCAGCTGCATTTCAGGTGCTCAGGGGCAGCCAAGGTGTGTGTGTGTGTGTGTGTGTGTGTGTGTGTGTGTGTGCTGCGTAATGAGTAAGGCGAAGGGAAGAAGGGCTCCTTCATCACAGGAAGTTCTACAGGATGCTGTTGGTGTGGATGGGTAAAGCTAGAATATGCCTAGATGTGTTTCTTATACCATGAAAACAATTTCATTTTTGGAATTGATGCTTTAAAATGATAAACTTTGTGCCTTCAGTCAAATGGTGATGAAGGTATCTGTAGTTTTGTTTTTTTTCTTGTTCTCAAAGTAATCACTGCTAAGATCACTGTAAAAAAAAACTAGTATTTAGATTGAAGAGAAGTTTATTTTTTCTCAATCAATGCTCTATTGGTCAGTTTAGGGAAAAAGCATGACATTGCTAACAGAGACCTCCAGAATGTGGACAGCTATAGTGTGCCTCTAATTATGATGATGATGATAATATAACCTTTATTGAACACCTACTGAGTTTTTTTTAAAGTGTGTCAGCCAGAATACAGTACAAATCTTCAGGTGAGATCTAAAAAAATGCTAAATACAGTTAGAGTAAGACCTCCCTTTGCTATGACGCTATCCATTTATTTTAGCATGAGATTCCATTAGATTTTTGGACAGAGATACACCGCTGACTTATTCAGAGTATGAAGTGCTCTGAAAATCCAGGTCTTTTAGAGAAGAAATAGAGGATAAAGCATTAAAAGGCTTCCTAGATTTGAACCCTGATTCTGCAATTTTTAGCTATTAAATCTTTGACCAATTGCAGCTACCTCAACCATAAGATAGGAATAATAACTTATAGGATATCAATGAGAATTAAATATGTGAATACATAATGAATTAGTGTGTCTTCTCATCTTTCTGATGACCTCTTAAAGCATGGGGGTATCCTTATACTCAGTTCTTGGGCTTTTTCTCTTTGTACCTTTATTCCCTTAGTGCTCTCGTTCGGACCTGTGGCTTTGCATATTACTTCAACATTTGTGTATCTAACCTGGACATATATGCAAACTTCAGAATTAACAATTACATGCATAATTTCATTTTGGATATTTAATAGATATCTCAAGCCAAAATCTCTGGATCTTTGTCCCTAAACCTGTTCTTCCTGTCTTCCTCATCTCAGTTAATGAAAACTTCATTTTTAGTTGCTCAAGTTAGATATCTTGCAGTTATCCTCTAGTCTTCTTTCACCCCTCTGATCTTAATCCATCAAAGTGGCTTCACATTCTTCGTGTATCTAAAAGTGATCAGAATAATCATTGAAAAATGGAAGTCAAATCAGGACACACCTGTCTGCTTAAAACTCCAATCGTTTCCCATCTCGCTCAGAGTGAAAGCCAGAGGGCCTCCTCGGTGTCTTCACCTGTTCCACCGTGTTGCTTTCCTGCCTGTTTCCTTTTTCTCTTTTACTCTGCCCCAGCCCCACCAAATTGCTCATGGCAGGCAGCTTCACCTCAAAAGCTTTGAAGGTACTGCCTTGGAGGAACAGTCTTCATGCAGATATTTGTAGGATTCATTACCTTACCTGTTTCAAGCCTTTGCTCAAAAGTTGCCTTTACAATGAAGCCTTTTCTGAATATCTTGTTTGATAATCAAACATATTAGTTATTCATTTTAATTTTTATCTGTCTTCTACTACTTCAGGTCTTTCTCAACTATCACCTTATTAAATAACTAGAGGCCCAGTGCACAAAATTCATGCACAAGTAGGGTCCCTAGCTGCTGCCAGCTATTTGAACTCACGAGGGGACACTTTGCATATTACTCTTTTATATATAGAGATAATAATAATGTTTTTTTTAAAAAAAATAACTTTCCACTCTCCAAAACCTCATATTCCTTTTTACTTGCTTCATTTGTTATATTTCTTTGCACTTATTATATAATTTTTGTTATTTAAATGTTTCTATTGTTATTTTTTAGAGAGAGGGAGAGGGAGAGGGAGAGATAGAAACATCAATCAGCTGCCTCCTGCATGCCCCTCCCTGTACTGGGGATCCAGCCTACAACCCAAGTATATGCCCTGTCTGGGTATTGAACAGGCCACCTCTTGGGTATGGGACAGTGCTCAATCACTGAGCCACACCTGCTGGGCCCATCTAATGTTTTGTGCTGTCTAGCCAGCCACTAACCACTTGTGACTGCTTGAAATGTTATCTAATTAAGGAAATAGATTTTTAATTGCATTTAACTTTAAATCTAAAAACTAATACTCAAGTTAGTTCCTGGAAAATTTTTAAGTATATTTGAACAACTGGGTATGTGAATCTATTTTTTCACCTGTAAATTTTATGAAATCTAAATGCAAATTAAGTATTTCCAATGAAAATTTAGCATCCAAATTGAGATGTGCTATAAGTGTATAAAATACACACTGGCCTGCAAAGATTAAGTAAGAAAAATAAATGTAATAATCTCAGTAGTTTTTTATATGAATTACATGCTGAAACAGTAATATTTTGGATATATCATGCTCAAAATGTATTATTAAAAGTAATTTTCATTTGTTAACTTTTTAATGTAGTTACTAGAAAATTGTGTGTAGCTCATATTACATTTTTGGGCAGTGTTGCTCTACTTACTAATGGAGTTGTGTGTTATGTATCTCCGTACTTAGAATGGGAGCTCCATGTGGACAGGGGTTTGGTCTGTTCTGATCCAGACCCAATCATTAGCTATAAATTTTATAGAATAAGTCAATAAGCTTGAGTGAATTTCCCTTAAAAAATACACAAATATGAATGAAAATTTAGAGGAAAACAAAATTTACTTGCATGTCCTAGAACCTAAACAAATAGTTATTAATACATATAGAATGCTTATAAAGAAACAAGACCCAATTTTAAAAGGGCAAAAAATACAAACTTGCAGAAGTAGAAATCCAGATGCCTAATAAACAAACAAACCTTAAATTATGAAGATTCTTTGATCTAGTTTTTCTATAGGTAGGAATTTATTTTTAAGGATGTAATCAGATGTTTAAAAAGATTTTTCTATAATGTTCATTGCAACCTTATAAAACAAAAATTGAAATCAAACATATAGCATTAGGTTGCTAGAGTAATCCAAATAGGAAGGGATTCAGGATAGTAGCTTTAATAGGAAAATATTTCCAAATCCTGTGGTCAGAAACTCTGTTTAATAAACCCCAAATCTTTATTTTCAGTTAATGTGTTAGGAATAATAGATTGTATGTAAACAAAATAAAATTTACTAAAAATATAATCCTTCTGAAGTTTATTATTTAAACTCTTACATGCTATTTAGCTATTATGTCTTAAAAACTTGTCTTCTTAGGGATTTGAGGCTTAAACTGAAGAAGTAATTTGTTCAAAATTTTATAACCAGAAAGTAATGACAGATTCATAGGTTTCATTTATAATATATTAAACATAGGTTATAACATCTCAACTTGCTCTACAATAAAAATAGGGAACTATTTTGTGGAAATAGTTTTGTATAAACGTGTATTTAATGTTTTTTTCATCTTTCTTACTTTTCAGAATTATCATGAAATTATGACTCACCATCCTGAGAATTATCAGTGGGAAAACTGGAGTCTAGAAAATGTTGCCACCATTTTAGCCCACCGATTTCCCAATAGTTATATTTGGGTGGTAAAATGTTCCCGAATGCATTTGCACAAATTCAGCTGCTATGACAATTTTGTGAAAAGTAATATGTTTGGTGCTCCAGAACACAATACTGACTTTGGAGCTTTTAAGCATCTTTATACATTATTAGTTAATGCTTTTAACTTATGTCAGAACAGTTTGCTATTAAAGAAGAATGTGAAAGACTTGAATAAGGATTCCAAAGCATCCAATTGTAGATCCAGTTCTTCTCATACTAATGGTTGCCAGGGAGAAAAAGAGAGCCCCTGTGAAAACTATGATGAGTCTGCACTGAGTTTTTATCCACCATCACTAAATGGTGCTTCTTTTACTTTGATTGGATTCAGCAAAGGTTGTGTTGTTTTGAATCAGTTGCTTTTTGAATTAAAAGAAGCTAAGAAAGACAAGAACATAGAAGCTTTTATCAACAGCATAAGAACAATGTACTGGCTGGATGGTGGACATTCTGGAGGAAGTAATACTTGGATTACTTACCCAGAAGTCTTGAAAGAATTTGCACAAACAGGGATTATTGTTCACACCCATGTAACACCTTACCAAGTACGTGATCCAATGAGATCTTGGATTGGAAAGGAGCACAAGAAATTTGTTCAGATACTTGGAGATTTTGGTATGCAGGTGACTAGCCAAATTCACTTTGTAAAGGAAGCTCCTTCCTTAGAGAATCACTTCAGGGTTCATGAAGTATTTTGAGACTACGAGAATATTAATGTAATACTTGCTCAGTGGAAGAGAAAAAGCACTTTGAGTTTTAGAAAGTCTGATAATGAGATGTAATTTATAGATAATACATCCATTTTTAGGGGGGAGGGAACACACATTCCTAAAATATACATATAATGTGCAATAGTATTTCTTGCCTCTGAATGTGAAGTTTTTAATTTGGACTGGATCAGAATTAGTTTGAAATCTAAAAGGTGGTTTGTGATAATTTTATGAAGATATACTATTCAAGACCTTCAATGATGAAAGTTACAATTAGTCCTTATCAAAAGGTAATTAAAATTGTTATTGTTGGAAATAGTTTGTTTTCTGAGTAATGTTTAAAACTGATTTGAGTGGCATTTTAACAGTAGCCGGCGATTTGGCACCGAAAACTTTTGAGTAGAAACACTCCATTTCTCTTCATACAAAGCCAAAGCCCATGGATATTTTCCATCATTCTGGAGTAACAACCCTGCCTTTTTGTTTTGTAAATTCATGGAATCATTCTTTAGTGTACCACCCAGTGTTTTTTCTCAAGACTCAAAATATATTTGTTTCCAAATATGCAAGAATGTGCAATAGTTAAAAGTTTGGTTTTTAAAAACATTACACTTAAGCATTGTGGCTAAATTTTTAATTGACAACTTTTGGCTAAGAATTTTGGAGTTTCTTAAATCTTGGCTGCAAACCAGTTCTTTGGGGAAAATTGTTTTAAAATGAATATAATTCTGTATATTGGGTAAAAATATAGATTGAAATTTTTTTCACATCAGTCTTCTTAGAGTTCAACTTAGGTAAAATAAATATATAACACTCTCTGTTAGTGTTCGGTTGACAAGGGGATGAGTTCTGTAGATCTAAGTCAGTGTTTCTCCAGAAGCGTGATTTTGCCTGCCAAAAGAAAGCAGCTCTCTGGCCAGAATGCAAAAATTATATTGCTGTAAAAAAAGTTACAAGGGAAAGTTTGAAGACACGATTTAATTTTGGCTCAAAAAGTGAATTTGCTTAACACTGCTGCATAATTTGGGTGAGGTTTCCTTCTTCCTGTTTCTCTTGACCTAGATAAATACATTTTGAGAAACCAAGATCTAATTAATGTTAATATTAAAACATAGCTGTGTGATTAAAATAAAAGGTGAGTGGTCACTTTATTTATAATTAGCATTTCAGGGAATGAAATAAGCAGGGAAGTAACACTGCTTTCAGACTGGAAAAAAAAAGACTGAAGCTTAATATCTTAATAAATTCATAAAATAATATAGTGAAAATGTTAATATTTTGTGGTTTTCCCCTAGAACTTTATTTTAATGATTATAAACACATTCCAAATATTCAGGGACTTATTAGAAAGGTTCTTACCAAATGTGTAAAAATAACATCTTTAATTCTATAAATTACAAAATAGTATCAAGGTGGTTGCTTTTTTTTTTTTTTAAGGACAAAATAGTTTTATATTGCTTCAATTTCTTTAAATACTTGCTGTTTCTTTTGAGACCAAAAATTTTTAACAAGGAAATGAGTCAGCCTAACTCCAGCATTTTATTACCTTGAAGCATCATAATTGATTGGCTTCCTTTAATGTGTCCTAATCCTTGGTTAAGTTAATGTGAATCTGATGTCAACTAGCTAAGTTACTGAATGCTCTAATGAGGGGAAGGAAAGGCATTTCTATGATTAAAGTGGAAAAAGGACTTTCTGCAGGATTCATTACAAAAAGCTGAGATATTTAAAAATATGGGTTCTTTAACTATCCAGTCATATGAGTTTGTTACATGTTCAATGGACATTAAAAATAAGTCACTGGACACCTAATCACATTAAAATGAAAGTGTTGAAAAGTAAAGTATTTTTTGAATTAAAATATATTCAAGTAGACAATAGTCAAGTATTTTAATACTTAAAATTTGTTCTTTCCACATCTGTTTAAAACTTGTTACATGTTCGTATATTCTTCTGGATTGTGCCTTTGTGTTTGTGTCAAGTCAACTGAGAAAAGTAGTCATACAAATAATGTGAAAGTTACTGCCACAGCATGAATGTACAATTAAATTTAATCCACATAAGTCTGTTTTGATGTGCTTTATGTTATTAGATTTGTTTCATTATTTCTCTCTACTTTGCTAGTTTGGTTTGTACGTATTTTCATTAACTTCCATGGTTTTTTCAAATGAGTATCTCTGAACATTTCCTATAAAAATATCTCTTCTGTATATTGCTCTATAAAAAGTTGCATAATTTCCATTTCTTCTGTTGGATTTCCTAGAGAACAAAATCAAAAATAAGTTCTTCCTTTTCTGTGCTAATTATTTCAGATATCTATATTCCTCTGTCAAGAGACTTGATTAGAATATGGTATTTTTTTTTCTATTTTATTCGTGTAATATCCAAGCACCCAACCAAGACAAGGAAAGTCTAAGCTCTAAGGATATAGTACAGACAAAACAGTCCTAGCATGTGAGTGCAGCAGTGTATAAGGTCTAAGAGGTAAAATATGAAACAAAAGGTAGTATTCTTAAAATAACCATTGTTACATTATACTTTAAGAGCCTTGAAGAGAAACATGCTTTAGACAGGTTAAGATAACACAGGTAGATTGACCTCATATGTAAATTCAAATTGCTTTTTAAGAAGGCGAAAGATCTAGTAGCCTTAGTAGAATCAGGCATAATTTAGGTGATCATTTGATAACACTGAATGGAACTTTAAAAAGTAGACTACAACTTAGGTGCATTTGAGACATCCAAACACTTCATGGCCTGTATGCTTAAAATAAGACTTGAAGGTAACACCGTATCTGTGGCTGGCTGCCAATCTATGTTAGTTCTTCCTGACTACATCTGTTTTTCAGCAGAGGAGTAAGCAGTACAGTTCCAATTCCATCCAGACCTGCATTCCAGCTTTTTTTTTTCTTTTTTGTCAAATTTAGCTGATATCTGTTGGCAACTTTAGATAGGTGAGAGAAAAGCCTTGTTAGTAAAGTTCTTTCCAAATGTTCGCATAACTGCTAATCAAAAGAACAGAAAGATACAAAATAAGTCTCCCTTATTTTGTCCATGGAAGTGACCAAATTTGAAATCAATTACTGAATAGAATTCCAGTATAATTACGTACCAAGACAAATACGGTTAATATTCATGAAAAGCTAATAATTACAATCTAAGTAACTTCAGTATCTCAAAGATGCTTAGGAAGTTTAGAGTAATTTTTTATATACTTTTTTCTTAACTATTTATTGTAATTTGCTTTTAATACCTGAAATTAACCCAACTCTAAACACAGGATGTGAGTAAATGAATTCTTTCTCAATAGTGGAAATTATTTTCTCCATAATTAAAATACACCAAATTTATATACTTAGATTGCTTTAGATGGGCACATTTGTGTTTGGTAAGTATATTGTCAATGTCAGTGCAAATAATTACTAGGTCCAAAACAAAGAATGACACAGATCTACATACAATGGCCCATTGTCTCTAATGAGGACAATCCTGGGATCTTGCATGTATTTATTCATAAAAATTCTTTTTTAAAATAAGGGATAGATGGGAAAGAATTTAGTGGGGAAAACTTTAGGTGAAACTTTAGCCTAAATTAAAACTGATTTGAGTTATTTTGACACTTAAAAACTGAGAAAAGGGACAGGCCTGATTTACACTGGGTGCTAAGAAAAACCAGGATCTGATTAAATACTTGTTTGGGGTGAATCAGGAAACTATTATATTCACCCAAATTATTATCATTTAATACACTTGTTCTCAATCCTGACTATGCATCAAATCCCAAACACACTGATTCCAAGACTCTAAAGTTGGGATCCAGGCATCTGTTTTAAAAAGCTCTAAAGATTAATGTAGTAGACATTGTGGGTTGCCCACCTTTTTTTCCCCCTTTCTTAGCAGAATCCTGACAACTATCCATTCTGCCCACATGTGCCTCAGAGGACAAGATTCTACTTGCAGCTCCAGTAAACCAGACTGGCTACGGGTCATTTCAGGATGGCTTTAGTCATTTTAGATCAGTAAGACCCAAGGATTGGTGGTAAATTTGGGGAAAGCTTATATCAAGAGAGGGCTGCTGGAATACAGCCTGACTCCTCTGCTGCATGTAAATGAAGGTGTCGCACATGGCCTGGACTGCTATTGGCAATCATTCCATGAAGGTAGCCAGCCTCGGGATGATGCCAATGCTGCAGTGAAAACAGGAGGAAAAACCCAAGCGATTCTTAATGGCACTACTGAATCACTGGACCAAAAATACTGAAGCCCGCCCTACCTGGTTTGGCTAGTAGAGCAGTGGCCTGTGGACCGAAGGATCCTAGGTTCGATTCCAATCAAGGGCATATACTGTATTTTTCCGTGTGTAAGGTGTCCCTCATTTTTCAACCCAAATTTAAGAAAATCAGTATTTTAAACATTTTGCTGGCTTTCTTCTTAAGGCCTTTTTTGTATCTTAAGTTGTTGTTCCTGTATTCTCCACTGTCTGATCATATACTCAGTGGGAGGAGGTCCAAATTGTCTCTGCAGCTCTATTTCCATGCTCTTTTGCATAGCTGATTACATTCAGTTTGAATTTTGCGGAAGACAATCGCTTACTGGTATTTATCTTTTTATTTTTTAACTTCTTTATGGGCTCAGAAAGCTCTGGTCCCTGTTGCATCTGTGGATTCTCCACTTCCACCTCCAATTACAGCATCAGTTAATGTAATAAGCTCGTGATTGGAGGAAGCCTATTTGACAAGGTATGGGCAGCTACACACTCACAGGGCTCCTTCCTCAGCTGACTTCTGTGTACAAGATGCCCAGTTTTTCAGTCTAACAGTTTTAGAAAATAATGGCATCTTATAGACAGAAAAGTAGGGTACCTAGGTTGCAGGCTATATCCCTGGCCCTGGTCGGGAAGCATGCAGGAGGCAACCCATCCATGTGTCTTTCAAATTGGTATTTTTTTGTCTCTCCCCTTCCCTTCTCTCTAAAAATCAACAGTAAATTTGCTCGGGTGAGGATTAACTACAAAAAAATATCAAAGCCCAATGTATCAATACATTTTGTCATTTAAGTTAAAATTTTAATTATTTGAGTCTGAAAGCAAGAGGCATCCCATAACAGCATTTTTTGAACTGTAACGATCTGTATAAAAACCATGCAAACACTCCTTTGTACTTATTTAATATGCAAATCTGAAATTGATTTACCTTCCCTCTTTTAATAACAAATCTAAAATATAATTTTTCTTGTTTATTTTTCTAATATTTGAGCTGAACTGAATTTAAAATTTATATTCATTGCATTCATTTCATTATTTACTCAAAGTTTTTGCTATAGGCTTTGTCTTGAATGTGTAAGACCATTCGCCGTGCATAGAAGTCCCTGTATTCCTCTGGTAATTCAGCCAGTGTTTTTAAGGCTCTGTCCAAAATCTGTGCAGCTCTTGATGCTGCTGTGAGATCTTTGTTTCCATAGGTATCTGTTTTATCATAGCATTCAGACGGAAGGTGTTTCCAAAAGACATTCACTCCCACTCCAAACTCCTCAGAAATTACATTATGGAACCATAAAGCTGAAGAAAAAATTTTAAAAAGTTAAAAATAAAACCTACAGTTAAAAAAACACACCACCAAAATGTCAGTGAAATATCACAAATTGCATAAAACCAATGTAAGAAATAATTCTTGTAACCAGACCCCTTCGTTAGCACACTCCCAGCCTTTAACAGAATCATTTTAACGTTTATGAATTGCCAACCAATTTAAAGTGTCAATAGCACAAACCTACATTTAAAATCTTTTCAAATAGCAATTTTTCCTTTTTAACTTGAAAGGCATAATAAAGTTTATTTGCTTTATAAATCTGTAATTTGGAGCTGTATTTTGTGTTATTTGTTTACACGTCCTGAGTCCCACAACCACATCAAAAGTATGTTTTGTACACAGAACATTTCAATTATTTGAGGAGTATATTTGACCTTTTCTGACTTAGCACAATACTTTTGTTCTCAAAGACTTCCTATTCAAGCTGCATTTTGCTTTATAACTTGCTGACCACCAGGGGAGCAGTGCGAAAAGAAGGAAGGCCCCAGCCAGGCCAGATCAGCCCTGTTCGCCAGCCAGACCTAGGGACCCTGTGCATGATTTCATGCACTGGGCCTCTAATAATTATAGGTGTTAATTACATCACTGGTTAGCAGCAACAACTAATGTCTACTCATAAATTAAGTAATACATTCAAACTGTAGAAAATAATACACACAAGATATCACAGGTGTTAAAGATTATAACATTTTGATATTTAATAAAATATCTAATCATTTTGGCTTGAAATACATTTACCATTTCTTGATAAATACTTAAATGACAGTTCTAAAATACATAAATATTTTGAAAATGACTAAAAAGAAAAACCAGATAGAATCTTTTCCCAGATATAAATCATCTTCCTTGATGTCATTTAATAGAATAAAGAATAATATATTTATAGGCTGCCTTCATAAAATAAGATTTAATTTTATAAGAATTTGCCTAAGCATACTTTAAAACACATACACACAAATGTGTATAAAAGTCATCTTGCATCTGAAACCGGTTTGCCTCAGTGTTAGTGCATCGGTCTGCAGACTGAAAGGTCCCAGGTTCGATTCCAGTCAAGGGCATGTACATTGGTTGCGGGCACATCCCTGGTGGGGGGTGTGCAAGAGGCAGCTGGTCGATGTTTCTCTCTCATCGACGTTTCCAGCTCTCTCTCTCTCTCTCCCTTCCTCTCTGTAAAAAATCAATAAAATATATATTTTTTTAAAAATCATCTTGCATAGGTCAGCATAGATATAAAAAATATATTTTTTGGACTAAAAATCACAATGGGTAATCAATAGAGTACAGATTTTATAAATAGTAAATTAATGAGGTCCAGAAATCTTACCAGGAATGAATAATACATCTCCAGCATTAAGGGAACATTCATACCTTCTAGCCTTGGAAAACAATGGATATTTAGCTAAGTCTGGGTCATCTATATTCAGTACTTCTGATTTAGTACCTGAAATGTTCCAAAAAAAGGATAATACATATTGAGCAAAGTTAGCCTTTTTGTAAAAGTAATTACAAATATAAATTTGAAAATCATTCTTTTCTGTATAATGACTTTCTATACCCAAACTGTGAAAACAATTACTATTCTTCTGAAACCTAATACATTTTCCAGTGACTCATCCCTTATGTATGACCACTGCCATTCACGTAATACAATTAAGAAAATGTACAACTCTCATTCTTCATATAGCCTATCATTACATGTACACACATACACAATACATTTTAATTAGGAAGAAACCCTAAAATGTTTTCCTATGAGAACAGAGAGATTTCTCAAAAATGAGGAATGAATAAACCAATCTTTAAAAACTAAAAAAAGAAAATACCTGATAAATATAAATACTGGGCATCTCGAGGACTGAACAGTACAACACGCTTTTTTCCTGTCACTTGTATTAAGAAATTATCCATTACCTGGAAAGCAGTAAGAACTTATGAATAAACAGAATCTAAAATTCACAAACAAAACCAATGGCATTTCAAACAGTGAACTAAAAGTCTTATCCTTTAAAAAGATTTGGCTCACATTATGTAAAATCTTAAGAGTAATGTTCTAATGTAACAATGAAACATTTGTAATTAAAACACCACTGTTCATTTACTAGTATTAAAATATTCCTGTAGCACTGCGTTAAAATGGAAAGGACTGGCAAGCCATTAGGAAATTTGAAGTGCAAATTATTTGCCCTTGCCTCACCACTATGACAGTGAGAGTAGTTACACCTATTTGAGGCTCCCCTCGTTGGTTTTATTACTTATCTGTCCAGGAATGCTATAAGGCCAGTATTCAACAACCCGTTAACAGCACTTAGAAATATCAGGTGTTGGAAAAGTACAAGGTACTGAAGCAACCACTATTCTTTCAATAATTTAACATATGGCCATAATTTGTTTACAGCAGCAGTTGCCAACTGGAGGTCCGAGGACACTGGTGGTCCATGAGTCTGAAAGGTTGGTGATCGCTGGTTTAAGGAAACCTGTGGAGCAGCAGTCACCAACCAATGGTATGTGAGGTCCGAAAGGTTGGCAACTGCTGGTTTATAGGCATCTTAATTTTAGATTATTTCTATATGACTATATACCCTTGCACATTTTCTTGGCATACTATTACTGGAGTAATCATGACTCATGTGTATGCAAGGGTTCATTTTGTTTGTAGAGATTGTGAAAAATGTTAAAAGCCAGAGCTACATAATTTTCAACTAAGGAATTAAAATAAATACAAACAAGATGTATTCATTATTATTTACATACTAGAGGCCCGTGCACAAATCTGTGCACAAGTGGTGTTCCTCAGCCTGGATGACGATTGGGGCCATTTGGCTATCCCTCTCACAATCTGGGACTGCTGGATCCTAACTGCTCACCTTCTTGTCTGCCTGATTGCACTTAACCACTCTGCCTGCCTGCCTGATAGCCCCTAAACCCTCTGCTAGCCTACCTGATTGTCCCTAACCACCTTTGCATGTCTGATTACCCCTAATTGCTCCCCTGCTGGCCTGATTGCCCCCAACTGCTCTCCCCTGCTGGCCTGATCACCCCTAACTGCTGCCCCCTGCCGGCCTGATCATCCCCAAGTGCCCTTCCCCTAGGGGCCCCCAATGGCCCTCCCCTGCAGGCCTGGTCACCCCCAATGCTGTTCCCTGCCAGTCTGATCTCTTCCCCTTATAGCCCTCCCCTACTGGCCTGATCTCTACCCCAACTGCCCTCCCCTGCTGGCCTGATCTCACCCCCAACTGCCCTCTCCTGCCAGCCTGATCGTCCCTAATTGCCTCTGCCCCAACCACCATAGCTTTGTCCAGAAGGAAGTCAGATGTTCAGAAGATGGCCAGTCAACCCAGTCTAATTAGCATATTACCCTTTTATTAGTATAGACAGATTATATAGGATTGTTTTTTTAGCAGAAGATGCTCTTGGCAGACAAAAACACATAATCCCTATATCTGGACTGATAGCCAGCCATATGCACTATATTGTCAACCCGGTTATTAAAAAATTGAACCTTTTTCTTACCCTGTTAGGGTAGTTAGGCCTCTGGCCTGGGCCAGAGACTAATGAGCTTGCTATGCCTGCCTTGCCCCACTCAACCCCCGCTGGCCTGCCTGCCCGCCAGCCTTGCTCTGATAGGAGCTTGTGGGCTGCGGGGAAGGGACCTAGAGGTGGTCCATGCACTTCCTGGTGATTGTTCGTCCGTCTGGTTGTTTAGGTTTTGATGGTCCCTGCCTTTTTATAATGTATATAGAATAGATCATTTCTACCTAAGCATTTTTCCTTTTACCATAAACCCATATATAAACCTTAACTATATAATAACCGAAGGGTGTCCCAAAAAAATGTATACACACTTTAACAGCTGATAATATTAAAAATGAACTGTATGTTAATAAACATTGACTTTATAATCATTCACAGTCTGTATACCAGTCTGTATATTTGAAAATAATCTGTATGTTAATAAACACTGACTTTATAACCATTCAAAGTATGTATAAATTTTGGGGGGACATCCTGTATAGTACAATTATTCCTTTGACTTATTTTTAATGTAAGGAAAGCTTTATGATATTCCATAACTCAATATAAAAAGGATACTACTTAAAAATAAAAATATAATCTGAGAATTCAGTTAAAATGTATTTGAGTTATCACATCATTTTATCATATCATTTATGTAAAGCCTTTAAAAAACAATATGCTAGGATTTTGTCTGTCTCAATTATAAAGTTATTATGTTAAAATCCTCTCAAGAGATCTTCAGCTGAATTATATAAAATATACTTATAAAAATTAATATAGTTGGTACTCAGAACTTTAAAAAAAATAATTCCTTTTCTTTATAAACATATTAGGTATTGCATTAGCTTCTTAAATTTCTCCACTCAACACCAAATCATACACAATACCAGATTTTTAAAGTTTGTAAAATATTTCTATCCATTAAGCAAATAAAATTATAATACCACTAGAGGCCTGGCGCATGAAATTCATGCATGGGAGGGCGTCTCCTTAGCCCAGCCTGCACCCTCTCCAACCCGGGACCTGTTGGGGGATGTCCTACTGCTGGTTTAGGACATCCCTCTCACAATCCTGGACCACTGGCTCCTAATCACTTACCTGCCTTCCTGCCTAGTTGCTCCTGCCGCCTCCCCGCTGGCCTTGTTGCCCATGCAGCCTGTTCAGTCGTCCCTCACTAACAGCCCTGCCAGCCTGGTCAGAGGTAGCTATCTTATGAGGGTGTGAGGGTTAATTTACATATTACCTCTTTACTATATAGGGTAGCATAAATTATTAAAATCAGTAATCTACACATCTTGCTACTCGACACCTGACATTCTCAGGAAATATATTCTTAAGACCTTCTGATGATTGAAAATGGCTGTCCATAAACTTCTTACTCATACCATAACCTTATCACTTTTTCTACTTCCACCATTTTCCTCCTCAGCTGGTGGCCATTTCTCACGTGTTAACAAAACAAAAACACCGAATAAAACTTTATATATGACTAGAGGACTGGTGCACAGATTCATGCACATTGAAAGGAAATTAATTAGAAGTTGGCTGGCAGGGAGGGACGGGGAGAGATAGGCCGGACACGCCCTGGAGCTAACCTCCCACAGTTCCTCCCTGGCTGGCTGCACTTGGGGCAGTGCCAGGGCTCAAAGAGAGTCTACAGAGTAAGCGGGGTCCCTCGGCCTGGCCTGCGGGGATCATGCTGCAACCAGCAGTCCAACATCCCCAAAGGGGTCCGGGAGTGCAAGGGCACTCTTCAAAGTTGCTGTCACTAGGCGGTTCCTGCATTGTGTCTACCCCTGATGATCAGTGCGCATCATAGGCACCAGCTGGTCAACTGGTCACTTAACCTTTTATATATAAAGTTGATGAACCAAGAACAAGACCACTGAGAATGCAAATGTGATAAACTAGGCTTTGGTGTTAGCTAACAACTTCCATATCACCACTTTGCAAAGCACAAGTTTTCAACCTCATGTTTAGCAAATTACATATCAAAGATATTTAGGATAGCCCACAGAACTAAAACTGTGACTGTTAAATCTATCAATGCTAAACATCTATAATAGCATACATCATAGTGGGTCCAAAGTTGTAATCCTGGTGAGCTAATTCGAAAAACACTGGAAAAGAACTGCTCCTCTTTGAAGAATTTTGGAAACTTAATATCTCCTTCCAATAAAGGAAACTGCTTTCTGATATCTGCAACATCCTGCATTGAGAGGAACAAAATAAGAATTTTAGTAAAACAACATTGGCACAATGCTTATTTTAAGACTGCCATCAGAACCCATGATATAAAAGAGAAATGGAGTGAAACTCTGCTCACTGCTTTAAAATACTAGGACATGACCATAGCCACCAATTAAGTAATATACACAGTGTAACAAGACTGCAGATTTAACAGTTTAGCTTAATATGCTTCATTTATAGATAGGTTCTTCCTACTTTAAGCAAGATTCATACAGTTGTTTCTAATGTTAAGTATTTTAATGTTAGGAGTCATCAACTTGAATGTTGTCAACTATGTTAACCTGTGGTCTGAGGAAGGAGAAGGAAGATTCTTACTTAATCGTTTTAGGGATGCCCTTTATATAGCACTTCAGCCATATAAATTAGACTCTGAATGCATGCCAAAGCTTAATGAGTTATTCAGAATTTTTATAATTATTTAAGATTCTATTGTATTAGGTGAGTTGCAATCTGTAAAATATACAGTAGAAAGAATTTCTTAATTGTGTACAGATTACCAGCAGATGACTTTAAACACTAAGATTCTGTGGTCCTACTTTAAAAATTAAGTTATCAACTTTTAATAATCATACTTATTCAAATCATTAATAATAAAAAAGGATCAAACAGATCATATGACAGGCAGCAAGTATAAAAATTACAGTGCCAGTTTTTATATACACATCCATTTAAGCTTAAAGCCATTGTTTCACATTCAGAATTCTTACCTTTCTAGGGTCTTCTCCAAGTGACCTTAAGTAGTACTTTTCATCCTTAAACATCCCAAAGAAAAATAACATCAATATTCTCTTGGAAATATTACAGAGTAAAAATGAAAGGAAACAAAAATCTAACCCAGTGAAGTCATTTTCCATAAAGTTACGTTTTCTTACCCTTTCTACTAATGCTCTCTGGTGGCCATAGGAAGAAAAACCTTTATATGCCGCTTGTAATAATGTTTGAATCCACAAAATATAAGTAAAAGAAATTCTAAAAGCAATATACATATACCACATCTAAAGCCACGTTGTTCAATTTAGACTTTATTCTCCAAATTATTTAGACAATGTCTTAAAACTTAAAAGAATTCCCATTTGGACAACACATATGATCTCAAGGTATTGCTGAGTGCCAACAAAAAAGTTCTTTAATATAATACAAATGTGCAATAGGGGATAAATAAAATATACTTTTAATAAGTTTTTAAACTTTTGAATTGTATTTTATAAAGCTAAGCCTATCCCTGATCATATAAATTCTCAAGCCAAATTCTTAAAGAGTCAGCTCATGTATGTGAATTAGAAATGTCACTTTATAGCAGTAAATTTGATACAATACAAAAAGTCACCAATTGTACTGCACCGAGTAGCTATAATAAGGAATTGTTTGAATTAGAAAACATTCCTGTTGCCTGCATTTCCTATGAGACTTAGATAACTGAGATATACTGGGTCAAGCACAGGGGCATTCTGCCATTTTTATACTTACACTGACTGTTAATAACACAAACTTCATTTACTTCATTAAACTTTATTTACTTTTATAAATGTACTAGAGGCCTGATGCACAAAATTCGTTTAAGGGGTTCGGCCCTTGCAGCCCCAGCTTCGTCCAGAAGGACATCTGGTCTAATTAGCATATCACACGTTTATTATTATAGATAATCAGAAATTTAAACTTTCAGGTTCATTGTTTTTATATTTTTATAGATAGTACCATTCAAGTAAATTCTATGATTTTATTACTGGCTAGCAGGTTTCAAAACATATTCTTCAAAATTCTAAGAGTTTTCTACCTGTTCTAATATTTCAGAATTTAAATAAATTCATGTGGCAGATACAGAGACTGACGTATCAGAACCCCCTTCTATTATAGAAAGAGTGTGGCTGACTTACAGCTGCCAGCTGTTAGCTCCTTCAGGTCCACCTCACTTTCAGAACCAACGTCCTGCTCTTCTTGGAGTTCCCCCAACTAATGACTGCGCACAACGGTAACAGCCGAGGCACTGCTACCCGACAAGGTGTCCTCTCACAGCCTTCCTCAGGAATGCCATGAATTTAAGCTGAATTAAAGGTGGACTGTAGTGTAAATAAGTAGGCTTTTTCTGAATGAATGTTAGAGCGAATTTCTAGAACAATCACACTGGATAGTAACTAATAATAAAATAGTTCTCCATTAGCATTTGAACTTGGCATATCAAACCAAAGCATTTCAGTGGAAGTAATACTAATAGCTAATAGCTAACAGTAGTAGTTTCTAGTCAGCACTGTGCTAATAATTACTCTACTTATTAGATTTAGTGAATTGTGCTGTTATGATTCATATTTTATAGCTGAGTACACTGAGGCACAGAAAAATAATTTGGCCAATAGTGCGACCTAATAAATAGTAGAACTAATATATATGGCATATACAACCAAGCTATTAGAGAATGATATAGCTCTTGTATATAAACTATTCTCTTATAAGAAAATTTATTTAGTATATAAACATGTTTTAAAGAAAATGTTAGAACCAATTACCTCAGAAATAAAGAATTCTTTATGCTTTTCTTCAGCTGCCCTCTGAACCAACTTGTCAAAAGGTAAAGTTCTGAAATACAAAAGAATCCTTGGACTTAAGGATTTGTTAAAGTTGGATATGACCTGTTTTACAATATCCATAATTTTTATTATAACCTATTATGTGGAATTCTACATTTTCAAAATTCATTTAGCACTGTGCTTATTTGACCTAGGTTGTCTGATATTCCTATTTCAAAAATTAAAGATTTTAAATCTATGGCACAGATAGATCCTTCTCATATGCCAATATCCTTCTATTCCTAGTTTCTGTTCCCATGGTGTTTGGTTACCTTTGGAAATACACATTTTCAAGCTCTTGTAATGATGGGCAACTATGAATAATGCTCCTTTGGAAGAGACCAAGCAAAGGGTTGATGTAGGTCAAGGGCTCCCCTCCCTCTCCCTTACTACCTACCCCCCCACCCCCTCCCCCTCCAACGGACTAATCTTCCTGCACAGAACACAGAAGCTTGTAACACTACTCTCATCCTCCGGTACCACGCTCTGTCATTTTAAGCTTCTGAGGAATATCTCAAGAATTCCAGTGAAGTGACAATGTTTTATTCTTCAATATTTCTACCCAAACACTTGGCTTCTTCCACCTGGTTGAAAAGGCTGAACATTGTAAAAGCAAAGTGTGTTTCCTTTACCTCACATTCTTGAGCCTTGAATTATTTTTTTTCTACATCCCATCCTATCCCTTCAATAATTAAAAGTACTACCCCTACAGAAAGATGATCCCTTATCAGTAACATTAAGACAATCTTAAAAGACTCCAGGTCAAAAGCCTCTCTCCTCCTCCAGCAATAAACTCCAGCCTCCAAACCTCTGGTTAAAAGTTATAATCTTTTCACTTTTACTTCCCCCTGAAATCTGTACTGGCAAGGTGGGGAGAAAGGGTTGGGCCTACTTTCTCCTAGCAAAGTTTTCCTACAAACACACTGGTTAACATAAATGTGGAATGTCAACTGTGACATTGGACTCTCTGGAAAATAAACATCATTAACTGCAGGCTGAAAAACACTTATCTTTCTAGCACTTTCTCCCACTTTCTTAACTTAATGAAAGTTCTTAGACTTGGGAAAACTCATGACAATTAAATTCAATTCATGGCCTACTAAAAACCAAAACTAGCCCTGACAGGTTTGGCTCAATGGATAGAACATTGGCCTGGGGACTGAAGGGTCCCGAGCCTGATTTCAGTCAAGGGCATGTACCTTGGTTTTGGGGCACATCCCCAGTAGGGGGTATGCAGGAGGCAACTGATCAATGTTTCTCTCTCATCAATGTTTCTAACTCTCTATCCCTCTTCCTTCTTTTCTATCTGTAAAAAATAAATAAAAAAATCAATAAAATATATTTTAAAAAATAAAAGTCAAAACTATAATGGTGAATATTCAAAGGATAAAAAACCTGAGAAATGCTTTGGCAAGCTGCTATATGAGCTTGGAAACTGAGAAAGGAATGGCCCTGGACATTAGAAGCTGTTTAACTCATCTGTACTCTGGAAGAAACAGCTAACTCTCTTTAAGTCAGCCTGTTGTGAACTACACATGTTTTTAATAGACTGAATTTGTTGGGAACTGCACATGCTCAGAATGTGAAAGTTGTTTGTTTTTTAATGTAACATTTTTAACAAAACTCATGGGATTAAACAGTATATCAAAACAATGAGATTACGGTGCTTAAAGCTTTCAAATTTAGAAATCCAGCAGCTTTTAACTATTTGCTTCTAAGAGATCATAAAACATAATATTACAACCATGAGAAAAAAAATTAAGGTTATTTTTTAAAAAGAGAAAATTAAGTATGATTTTTTTTAAAGTTTCCTGTGTTGATGAAAGTTTATACCAAACATAGCAACTACTTGCCCTACATTTCTGGGGAAGGCAGAAAAACAATGGACTTATACTTATCAAAAAAACAGTATTATTTAGAAAAATTTCCAAAACTGGGGCATTAAAAATCAAAATAGATCATGATAGGCAACTTTAGAATTTATTACTCAGGTAATAATTACAATGTGGTAGGATCAATTAATTAATGAAGCATTCAGATGTAACCTCTCCAGTTATGGCAATTCTCTGTTCCCTCCGTGGTTCCAGAAGGCATTAGGTATACACCCTGTGCAAGAAATGGTGTTTGGAAATGTCTTTGTATAATTACATAAACTCAGAATGCTTGTCTTTTAAAAGCCATTCTTTAGAAATTAGTAAGCTATTCCATGATTATATCAAGCTCGCCAAAGATGATGTGCCATGTGGATTTTGTATACATATTTTAAAAGCTTAAAACAAGTTATTTGTGTCCCGAGAGTAAACCTGAGAAGAAAATACCTATACACAAAGTTCTTACTAATGAAGTCCATCTGGGCAACGGCGGCAACGTGAATCTTCACTTCTCTCCCCCCTCCAATTTGACTCAGGTAATCCACCGTCCATTTGCTTGTGCATGTCCCCAAGTCAATTCCTTCCAACACTACGGGTTTTCTCTACAAAGGGGAAAAGTACAAAATAAAAACAAAAACCCAACAATATACCAGGAGTTGTATTTGACAATAGCGGAATAAAAAAAAATTCTTTATCCCAAGATGCTCAAACTCAAACCTTTTGACAATTCATGCTGAAACTAAAATAGGAAAAGGACCCATCCAATATACTTAGACCCAGGTTTTAACCTTAGGAGAACAAACAGAACAGTGATATCATGAATAACTAAGAGATTAAAAAAAAAAAATCTAAATCATCTAAATATTATTTAAAGCGTTTTCAGGGGTGTTACTTATGACTAAATGATTAAAATGGGTTTTTATAGTCAAATATGTTTTAACTTTTTATTTTGATAGCATTTCAAACGTACGGAAAAGTTCGAACAACTGCCATCCCATATACCATCTACTCTGGTTCACCATTTGCTCTCATTCTCACTAACTGGGTCTAGAGAACAAGATGATGATTCTCTGAACTACTCAGGGTAAGATGCTGCTATCATGCTCCTTTATCTCTAAAAACTTGAGTACCGTATGTTTTCCTGAGAACAAACCCATTTTTTCCCCCCTCTTAGGTTTCTTTAAAGAACGAAGGTTCGAATTACACACAGAAGAGATTCCGATGTTTGAATTAGAATCCGGATTAGTCAGAACCCGAGACCAAGATCAGCGGAAGCTTCCCAAGGGAATTCCCATGGATCCCCTTTGGCTCAGGACAGCGAACACATTCCTCCCTGAAATCCAATAATCCGGGTGGACGGACAGGCGCCAGCCACGCCAACAGGGGAGGGAGCCTGGAACCCCCTACAATGTAAAGGAACCCAAAGGAAGACGGCAAAGCAGGCGGGTGATGATGGCGGAGTACGCTCCCTCCGTTGCCATGGCAACGACAGGCGGCTTCCGAGCGGGGCTCCCCGAGGCCGCGCTCCGCAGCGAGGGCAGCTTCCTTTAGGGAAACGTTCCTCGCTCGCAGCTCTCCCCGCCACGCTGCTCCCAGGAAACGAGGAGCCAGCCGTTCTCTCCTGAATGAAGGGATGAGCCGGCTGGCATCCCCAGGCGCCCACACTCCCGGGGCCGCCCAGCCATTTAAGACGCCCGCCGCCCTCTCCCCGCTCCCTCGCGAGGCTGGGAGCCAGCGGAGAGGCAGGAACGGCCTCACCTGTGGGTACAGGTGCTGCAGGAAGTGCTCCTGCGAGACCCCCTCCAGCCGGGGGACCGCGAGGCGCTGCCCGGCCATGACCGCTCTCGCCCGCCTCCTTCCGGGTCCCGGGAACTAGGCCCACAACACGTTCTTCCGCCCGGAAACTCGACCCCGCGAGAAAAGGCCCCGCGAGAAAAGGCCCGCGAGGCCGCGGTGCTCGCGAGAGCGGCGGGTACCCGGCGGGGCTGCGGCCCCTGCGGGGTGTGTGCGGGCGGGGGGTTCGGGGAGGCGGCGGGCTGCCCCGCGGTGCAGCAGCGGGCCAGCTCCCCGCGCCAGTCGCTCCCAGGAGCCCAGTAGAGGGGGTGGTTTCCCGCCGGAGGGTTTTCGCTGAGGCACCGGCAGGCGCAGAGGTGAAAGGTCACAAGATGGCGCTGGCGGCTCGCCTTTGGCCCCGCTGGCTTTTGTCTGGGTCCCTGCCCGGAGGAGCCGCCAGGCTCGGGTCCCCCGGCCGAGCCGCGGGGAGGCCGCCCTGGGCTGGCCTCTGCTGCCTGTGCCGCCGCCACCTGGGCTGGACCGCGGCCCCGTGTCCGCCGGCGCCTTGGGCCTCGGCGCTGCCCGCCCGGGACCCCCGGCGGCGCCCCCTGCTCAGCCCCGCGGCGCCCCCCGCCTGCCCCCGGCGCAGCTACGGCGCCGAGGAGCCGCCCCAGCAGCGCCCGAAGACCAAGATGCTCATCCTGGGCTTCTCCAACCCCATCAACTGGGTTCGGACTCGAATTTTCGCCTTCCTCATCTGGGCTTATTTCGACAAAGAGTTCAGCATCAAGGAATTCTCGGAGGGAGCGAAGCAGGTTCGTTTACTTCCCCCGGGCCGACCTGTGCGCCTCCGTGCATTCCCCCGGTGCCTTCACCCCGGGCGCGTCCCGGCGTGGAGCAGAGGGGGCCCCTGGGCCCCGGGAGCTGCTGCCTCTGGTCCCCGGGGGCCTCCGAGGTCCCATTGAGACACGAGGGTGAAGTCCCCCGATTACTCCGTCCACTCTCTACAGGTTTTGAATCAGAAACGGACTCAAAGCCCATTTCTGCCCCTTGAAAGGCACGTTGCTTTCTTTTCTGAACGTGATTTTCTGCAAAATGAAAAAGGCAATGACTGGCACCTAGTCGCTGAATAAGTGAGTCAGTAGGCACGGTTGTTTTGAAAAGTAAATGAGGTGATGTTTCTAAAGCGGTGCGATGTCATTTGGGGAGAAAAGAGGAAACTTCCAGCCAGCTTCTGCCAGGGCTCCTTTGCCCTTTAGGCCTCTTACCCTCACTCCCACGGCGCCCCGTCTCACTCCTGAGGAACCACCCAGAGAGGAGCAGTTTCCCCTGCAGGGACTTGGCTGAGGCAGCTGACAGCCCTGTCCCTCTTCCTGGGTGGCTGATACTATGCCGCCTTACCCTCGACCCTTGTGGGTCATCTTGGGTCCTGAGATTTGCAGATTTTGTGTATACCAATACCTGTATTTTTCTAGGATGAACGTTCATCTGTAACTTCCCCTTGTATCTCTTAGAAAGTTTGTCATCACCAAACATTTCAGAACTATTGTTCAACCGTAGAAGTCCTAGTTTATTTCCCAGGTCATACCTCCTGTACCTGCAAATTATGCCATCCGTGTCATCATTTTACAGTTGGTTGTATGCTGGCATCGATGTATTTACTTCAGATCATTTCATAACAACAGTCATTTGCATTATTTTTCCGACCTGTCAGTTACAAATTAAATGTTTGAATCAGCGACAATATTAACTCCTCCCCCGAGTCAGCTCTTGACTGAGTTATGTGCTTGTTAAAAAATTAAAAAGCAATGAGGATTTGATTAATAGCATCTAGTTGTCAGTGGCTGTATTAGCTATTAGCTCCACCGACTCTGTGGTGCATTGATATGTATCCATGACGTCCCTAAAACTGCCATCAAGTCACATTAATCACATACTGTGTTTTCCCCTATATCTTAGTGCACATTTTAGCCTTTTCTGTGAAAAAGAGGTTCAGGTTAGATGTTCCTCATCAGACCACTTACCACAGTTCTGGCTCTCACTCCCCAGATTTAATGCAGATTCCACAGGTTAGGGACTGTTCCCACAAGACGACCTCCACTTCAGACTCCGACCCAAGCCCTGGCCTCCCATACTTTTAATCTAAACGGGGGTTCCCGCATCGCTCAGTAATTTGCTAAACGGCTCTCAGAACTCAGGGAAGCCATCACTTGCTACTTCCAGTTTATTTGAAAGGAGCCGCCCAATGAAAGACCTCTTGGCAGAGTATGTGAGAAGGGATGGCGGGTCCATGCCCTCTCCATGTGCACCCCATTTCTCGCATCTCTGAGGGTCACCCACCCGGAAGCTCCTACTCCTTCCCTTAGGGTTTTACGGAGCCTCCATTGCATAGGTGTGATGGGTTACGACAGTGGTGGTGCCGTCATCTCTCTGACTTGCCTGTGCATCCGCTCTCCTCCAGTCTCCAGATTTCACCTTCGAGGGTACTTCCTGCTGACAGCCCTCCTGGGCCTCCCGGGTGGCTGAGGCGGCTCTCCGTTCTCCCACAGCGTCCAGTTCTTACCCGTCATTGTGCTTGCCCTGTCTGTTTGCTGCCTCCCTCCTTACATGAAGATGGGTCGAGGTTTATGCACAGTTTCACTTCTCTCTGCCAGGAATGTGGAGCATTGCAGTTTGCTCTGCCCACTTTAAAATGGGGCCTCCTACTTCAAAGTTGAAATCCACTGTAGCAGACTGCAAACTCTATCTTTCTTGTCACTTTCCCCAGCCTGCTTCCTGGCTTAATGGCTCAGACTACAGCCCAGAACTTCGGACCCGCAGTACAGTTTAGATTTTACTGTTTCTCAGCTGCTGTTTATGTTTGACTAAGTGGGAGGTGGGGAGTCATATAACACTCAGAATGGTTGATTACTCCATCATTATTTTAAAAGGAGATATATAGAGGATTTTTTCTCAGGTTCGAACCTAAGTGTATACACCACGCACTGCCTTTTCCTAGGTCCCAAGAGTGGATACATAGTTAGCAGTCTGCCTACTTACTACTGTGTATGTGGGAAGGCCATATGAGAAAAAAAAAGCCAACCAACTAGAAGGAGTTGTGCCCAACATTGATATATTAGTGCTTGACATTGTTTGTCACCTTTATCATAAAACGGTCTGTCACACTTGGCCATTTAAGTTTGAGTATTGAAATAATCACCACCCTTCCTCCACTATTTTTTTTTAAAGGCTTTTGCTCATGTGTCCAGATTGCTATCACAGTGTAAGTTTGATCTGCTGGAAGAACTTGTGACTAAAGAGGTAAAGTATACTTTTAATTTTCCTTTAAAAATAAATGTATTATTTCCTTGCAACCAAGTAATACATACAGTACATTATCCTTATAAATGCTTAAAAATAGTGTGAGTGCCATCAGCAAAAGCAGTCCCTGTATCATTCCTTTTGATAAAAGCATTGAATGACTTGCTGCTAAGGCATAAGTAAGTAAATGTGACCTGTCAATTGTACTTATCTAGAATGTTCTGTTCTAAGTTACCCAGTTGAATGATTAGATGCTTTTTAGCCTTGCTTTAGAAGCTGAGTAAAGATGGTAGTAAATTTAAAAATAAGAATCGAAAAATTCATCCCTCGAACAATTCATTGAGCTTCTTAAAAAGCTTTCGAAAACTTGAGAGGTGATTTACAGTTTGCTTTTTCCAAACTTAGCTGCTGCTTGTGTTGAAAGAAAAGGTAACCTCACTACCTGACAGCCACAAAGATGCCCTTGCTGCTGACATAGAGGAGATCGTGTACACCTCTGCAGGAGACATCTCCATCTACTACGACGACAAAGGTAATGCTGGAGCGTAGGCGGCTTTAGTGATCCACGGTTGTCCAGGTAAACCGAACTCCTCGATGGGAGACCATGACATAGTGGGACTTTGTTGGTACAGATGGATGCTCATGGCTCTTCAGAAAAATACTATGTCATTCTTTAAAGACCCAGCTCTGGAAGAGCCGAGATAGGATTGATAGTAGCTTCTTAGGCCTTTTGTCTGAACTTGGCCTACCACGACTTAATTCCCAGGGGAGAGCGTCGTCACATTGATGAAAACAGTTTAGGACAAGCTGCTCCCAAATCACAGTGAAAATATCTGTATGTAGATTTTCTAACTCGCAGGAAACAATTGAGAATTTAAAATGTCCAGTTGTACGTTACGTAGAAGGAGTAAAGAAAAAGTAAATAATATCAGCTAAAGATGTCTTGAAAATAAAGCCAACTGCAGAACTCCCAAACAGGGTTTATTTGGAGACAGTGGAAAACATTGGAAGGAATGTTAGTGGTTATCGGGTTCACCTTGTCCAATAACTCCCAAACAGGGTTTATTTGGAGACAGTGGAAAACATTGGAAGGAATGTTAGTGGTTATCGGGTTCACCTTGTCCAATGCATGCTTTTTCCTTACAGCATTTCTGAAAATGTATTGACTTATTTATTCCTGCTACAGATCTTTGCATATGTGTTATGTGCCAGGCACATAGGAGATCCAGCCTTTGCTTACAAACACTTCCCAAGGCAATTCTGATTTGGACTCTTAATAGTTAAAGTTTTTTCATTTTTATAAACATGCTAATTTGAAACGTTTGTAAAGGTTCTTTAACATGTTTTTCATAAATACTTTTTCTTCCCTAATATTTCAGATTGCATTTCAGCACAGTGGTCACTACCTGATTTTTACACAAGCCGTTGTCATAATCACAGGCATAGCCAAGTGAATTAGGGTGGAATAGAAGTCTTTCTTCTTTCTGGAATTTGGGGTTAAGTTAGTAGCAAGAAGTGTTTTCCCCTTTCCCCTCTCATTTTTCGGTTTGACAACAAGTATCTGTTAGAGTTTTAGATAAATAATGCCACAAATTGAAAACTATCTATATAGTATACTTAGTAAACAGTACATGCTCAGTAAATAGTAACTGTTAATTATTACAATGCAAGAAGAGGGCCAAACCGACATTACCCTAAGAAAATAAAGAGGTAGCAATGTAAGAGGTGCAAAATTTGATCTGTAACAACTGTGTAACTACTGCCAATTTCTATTTCATTTTGAATGTATGGATGATAGATTATTATGATTTGTATTTGTGTATGTGTATGTTTTTTCCCTAAGGAAGGAAGTTTGTTAACATCCTGATGTGCTTTTGGTATCTAACCAGTGCCAACATCCCCAGTGAAACTTTAAGCGGAGCGGGTGTGTTCCAGGTTAAATTGGGGAATCAGAACGTGGAAACTAAGCAACTTCTTAGTGCAAGCTATGAGTAAGTCTGTCGCATGCCATACTACGATCAAAAAACTAACAGAGTTTTAGGAAGAAAGGGTTGAAATTTGACAGGTTTTTTATAAAGAGAAAAAGCCATAATGACTACTGGCCATGACATGGCAATGTTGGAAGTAGGAAAGACGGTAATGTTTCTGGATGAAATTGCAGTGTTTCAGCTGTCCATTGCTGCATTGCAAACCATTCCACAGTGCAGTAGCTTCCAACAGCCCTTGGATTTTGCTGCTGTTTCACGGTCAGGATTTGGAAAGGCTGATCAGTAGGGAGTCTCTGCTTCTCCTGGATCAGCTGGGTGACGGGCTGGAGGACCCGTTTCCGCAATGGCTTTGTCACTGACATGGGCATCGCCTTGGGCTCCTTAGCCCCTCCACGTAATGTCGAATTCTCCAAGGCCTTTCTGCTGGCATGGGCTTGTGGTGGTCTCAGGCTAGTCACATGTTTTATGGTGGTTGGTATTCAAGAGGCAGAAGTCAGAAGATGCTAAACCAGTAGAGGGCTATGCCCAGGATGGGACCACATCATTTCCACCGTAGTCCACTGTCCAAGCAGTCACAGGACCTGCACAGGTAAAAGCACCTGGGAGACCACCTCCTCATGGGCATCTGCAAGGCCACTCTGCAGAGGAGCCTATTGGGTGGGAGATAAGGTGATGGCCTTGTTGGAAAATAAGATCTGCCGTAATTGGTCATGGACTACCCACTCTCTAAACATTTATTGACCATCTCCAAGTCTCTGGTAGGGGTTCACATGCAAAGTTAAAGGGTTCTTGCCTTGAGCACTGTCTGTCTAGTAGGTGCAAATTACTTGAAAGAGACACTATTGTGCATTCTTGTGCTAATAACATTTGGAGCAGTGAACAAGTCAGTGGAGATATAATTATATATTTAAACACTTATTTAATTAAAATCTGAATTTTCTCTTTGGAGATATCATTTATAATTACTGATCTTTCTTACTAAGACACAGGGCAGCTCATTAAACACTGTTTATTTTAAAGATTGATCTAACATATGTAAGCCAGATAACACTAAAGTGCTATGTTCATAAGCATAGTCCAATTTATTCCCCTCATATTAGGCATATGTTATAGCTAGTATTTAATAACAATAAAACCCCAGTTTCTCACAGGATTGGCAGATGTTGGAGTATAGATTCTTCCATTAAAAATACTCACTTTAGTTGAGAATGTACTTCTAATTCTGTGGGGATGTTTTTGTGATTAAATTGGTAAAGTCCTTTATTTACCATTGACCATTAGTTTATTGCTAAAAACTGCCTTTAACACTTGCAGATTAGTTACCTGAGAAGATTTGGACTGGTGTTTGCACTTCTTCCCTAGGTTCCAGAGAGAGTTTACACAGGGAGTGAAGCCCAACTGGATCATTGCACGGATTGATCACGCCAAGTTACTAGAATAATCTTTCCTGGAAAAATTGGCATATTTGAACTTTCAGCAATTGCTGTGAAAAACTAAGGAAGAATTTGGATCAGTTGATCTTCACTTAGTCAAGTGTATGGGTGACTTTCATATTATTCTGCAATACCCCTTGCAGTATACTGGTATGATGACACAATAAAGCATTTCCACTGATCGTTGTCACCTTCTGTAAAAGAGGTCCACAGCCTATTGTTGGTGTCACATTCACTGTCATCTCTAACATTACACGTATGTGTATATATGCACAAACTAATTTTATAGACAATAAAGAAGGTATTGAAAAACTATATATTTCTAACTTAATTCTTAAAATATTTGTGGTTAATACATTTAAACCAATAATTCAAGAATGTATAAGGTTTATTTTTTAAAATCAGTGCTGCTATTTGATTACTTCTGGTCACTAGCTAGATGAGGAATGGATGGGATTATGGCTTGGTCACTACACAATGAACTTGAAACTTTCTAAAACACAAAGAGAAAAAAACCCACATATTACATCTGTGAGGTAATATCAACTATTTTAACATACTTGGAGTCCTAGAAGTTGGGGTAGAGGAGATAAGTAAAAGGATAATGCACCAATTATGGCGGATGTCTTCCAGATGTCCATCTGGACAAAACCACAGGGGCTTCGAGGCCTGGGACTCAGGCAGCTGTGGGCTCAGGCAGCCATAGGCTGGCAGTGGCAGCAGCAGTGGGGTGATGGGGGCTGCACCTTCCCTTGATAGCTTGGTTGCCTCCCCCAGAGGGAGTCCAGACTGCAGCCTAGGCCTGCTGCCCAAGGGATGTCAGTAGGACATCCCCTGAGGGCTCCCAGGCTATGAGAGGGGGTAGGCCAGGCTGAGGGACCCCCCTCTCCCATCACCCCAACATGAATTTTCGTGCACTGAGCCTCTAGTCATACATAACAATGTCAAAATTTTCTTAATTGATGAGACCTATAAATCTACATATCCAAGAAAATCAACAAGCAGAATAACACAAAGAAAGCTTCACTGGGTACATCATAAAGTGTTGAAAACCAGAAAGAATTGTAAGAGCAGCTGGAGAAATGACAAATATATTCTATGCAGAGAATGACTGCATTTTTCTTAAACTGGAAGGTAGAGACCTAGGCATGACAACCTTTAAAATGCTAAGAGAAAATAACCTGTTGACCTACAATTCTATATTCAGCAAAAACAGCCTTCAGAAAAGGTGAGAAAAGAATTTTTCAGATGGGGAAAAGATGACTTTGTTGCTAATAGACCTGTTTTTATAAGAAATGTTAAGGATTGGTGGGCAGGTTTGATTCAGAAATGGACCCATGTATATTGGGCAATCGGTTATTTAAGCGAATTCAGAATTGGCTCACAAGATGGAGGATAATCTGTTTTACTCAAAGTCAGCTGACTCAAATGTTAATCTGCTGCAAAGTATCTTCACAGAAACATCTAACAACGTGATGTTTGACTAAATATTGCAGTGCTGTGACCTAGTCAAGTGGAAAGGTAAAATTAACTGCCATAGCTATGGTACTTGACTATATACTCTCCCCTGAGAGTCAACAAAGGTTAATGTTCTCCATATTATTTCATCTCTACACACAGACTAATCTGGTACTCAATTCTAGAGAATGTTGGGGAGGGGTTCCCCCCAAATATCAAGCAATTCTGGGACACCACCTGAGTGCCCTACAATTCAACTCAATGTCTGGAGATGGCATTAGATTCACTGGTTGTGGGTTCAGTCCTACAAGATTCTCCCCTCCCTTCAGATGTCAATCATAAGTGCATCCTCTCACCTGACCACCTGACAACTGGCTGTACATTGGAGGTTGCAATGACCCCTTCCTGGGGTTCCATTAATTTGCTAGAGCAGCTCATAGAGCTCAGAGAAACATTTTACTTACAGATTACCCATTTATATAAAAGGGTTTAACTCAGGAACAGCCAGACGGAATGGATGCGTCAGCAAAGAGTGTGGGAAGGGGTGTGGGGCTGCCATGCCCGCATCTGCAAGTGTTCGCCCTGGGAGCTCTCTGAATCTCATCCTTCTGGGGTTTTATGGGGGGCATTACACAGGTGAGTGATTTCATCATTGGCTCTTGGCTGTTGATTTAACCACCAGCCCCACTCTCACCCCGAGAGGTCAGGGAGATGGGACTAAAAGTCCCAACCCTCTAGTCACGTTTCATCCTGGGCTAGCCGCCCATCCTTAGGTCATTGCAACCTCCATCCATAGGTGCTTTTCAAAAGTCACCTCGTGACAAAGCTCAGGAGAGGTTGAAAGGGGTTTGTTATAAATATCAAGACACCTTAATTGCTCTTACCACTTGGGAAGTCCCAAAGGTTTTAGGAGTTCTGTGCTGGAGACTGGGATAAGGAGCAAATACATAAAATCACAACGTGCACACAGTTTTTATCCAAGCCATTTGAAAGTTAAGTTTCAGATCTATATGGCTGTTTTAAGCCACCAAGTTTGTAGTAATGTCTTACATCAGCAACAAGAAATCAATATACAACATGATTGTATATTGCAAAATAGTTGGAAAAATGATCCTCTAATTATACCTTCTGGCATTCTTCTATGAAAGAGTGATATTTAAAAATATTACTGCAACTGCATGGATTTTAATCATGCAATGTAGTATTAGTAATATTCTTTTTGATGCCAAATAGCCCCATTTGGCAGTCGGAGCCCTTTGACAGGTTGAACATGACCCTGTTAGTCTTTGAGTTTCTTGCACTTTCTGGCATAACAATAACAATATTTTCTAGGATCTTTTGTCCATTTTCTGCCTCGGCTGAAAACTCGGTGTTTTCTCCAAGGAGTCATGATTTTTTTTACTCCAGGGCAGTTGCCCACACTGAATGTTTGTGCCCACCTTCTCCCTCCCCCCGAATTCATTTGTTGAATTCCCACCCTGCAAAGTGATGGGAGGTAGGGCCTTTGGGAGGTATTGAGTGATGAGGGTGGAGTCCTCATGAATAGGATTAGTGCCCTATTTAAAAACCAACAAAACAGCTTCCTCACTGCTTCTACCAAGCGAAGACCCAGTGAGAAGATGACTAACAAAACCAAGTATCTGAGTCCTCACCAGACATTGAATCTGCTGGCACCTTGATCGTGGACTTCCCAGCATCTAGAGCTGTAGAAATGTTTGTTGTTTAAGCTTCCCAGTCCATGGTATTTTGTTCCATAGGAGCCTGTCTGGACTAAGATGGGGATGATGTTTAGAAACCAAGATTTGGGCATGCTGAAGTGTTTTGACGCTATGTTTGCAAAGAATGTTCATTATACACATTTGAGATTTTGGATCATTTAAAGGAACACTGGGAGAGCTAAATGTGGACTGTTTGTCTTTATGTCTGTCAGCCTTATTTAAAGCATTCTTCCCCCATCACTCTTGATGCCCTGACCCAGATCTATTTTGGTTTATAGCACTTATCACATCTGACGTTGTAATATGTATTACTGTGTTGACTTCTGTTAATTGGCTTTCCAACTTCTTCTGTCTTGGTCCTGGAACAATATCTAGTACATAGTACAGCTCAGTCAACATTAGTTGAATGAACACATAAAAGAATGAACACATAAAAGAGTGCAGCGTTATTGGATACACATGGCCTTGCTTTCATGGTCATACAATTAATGTCATTTACCCTAAACACCACACGGTGGCGCTAATTGTGTAGGAATCTAAATACTGGAATCAGCTGTGAGTTTGCTAAGGCCTGAAACTGATGAGCCATGGGAGGAAGGTTGCTTTGCTTACAGACTGATTTCTGTAGATATCGGAAAATGCTTAAAAAAAAAAAAAAAAAAGTTGGTATTAAAAGGGTTAAGGCTTGGGTCAAATCAGAGGGAACTTTTCCCTACATCTCTTCTCTGATTATTGGAACCACAGGTTACAGCATTCAGTTTGTCAAGCGTGTGATTCCTCCCACACTAAGAAAGCCGTTTCTAGATGGTGTGTGTGCTACTTAGGATAATGCAGGTTATGCTTATGCTGCAGCAACAATAAAAATCTCCAAATCTCAATAGATCTAGGCAAAAATAAATACATTTTAAAGTAGGATGATAGTATGTCTCTTGTTCACCTGGCATGCCCAATAAGAGGCACCTGCAGATTCAGTGGGTGGGTCATCACCTCCCTGCTAGACACAGCTGCTGGGCAGCCACTCCCTGATCCTGTGGCAAATGAAAACAGCTCTGAAGGGTCTCACGTGAGCGAGTACACGCTCAACGGGAGTGATACAACTCCCTGGCCAGAGCATGGCCCTATCAGCCAGAGACCCGGGGTCCAGTTCTGTCATGTGGCCGGAAGGCAGAGAGGGCGAAGCACTCCGTGAGCAGCAACAATGATGGCTACACGCAGCCAGGAGCAATTTCTCTAGTTCTAACCCCAGGAATGGCTGTCTCAGTGCCTCTAGGATGCTCAGGGGAAGGGGGATTTCTGAGATCTTTTGGCGATGTGTGACCAGCTGAGACTGACGGGCTCCTCTGCCATAGACCCTGCAGATAAGAGTCTCTCTGCCTGTGAACCAGTGACTGCAACTGCCGTAAACCTTGTTAAATGGAAAAGGCCATAGAGCACCTGAATCCCATTCGCTTCGTGTAATGAGCTCTGCTGAGGTGCACTAAACACCCCTGGGACTAACGAGGGTGCCATATGAAATACAACATGCTCAGCTAAGACCTCACACACTGTTAATGCTTTTACAAATTACTTATGGCTTCAAAATAGTAATCTTAAGAAAGATAACACTTTATGGGAGTACTTACTCTTACTTAGTCATTCAGTCTCACATTGTGGGTAGATGATGCTAATGGTTAGTGTGTCATTTAGGATTCCTTCTGAATGCATGATGCAAAAACCTTTAAAATCTGAACTTAAATAATATAAAAAAATAGTTGATTTCTCTTACACATAACAGAAATCCAGAGACAGGAGTCTCTGGGCTCGTGTGACAATTCCACAAGGTCTTGAAGGCA